AAACCTCAAGCCCAGCCCACGGAACCCCCTCCATACTGCCCGAAGGCCACCCCAGCAACTGCAGATGCTGTACAGTGCAAAACGCTGGGGCTGGTCGGAGTTGCATCGGAGGCCAGATGGGTCTTGCCATGTAGGATTTGTCGGGTTTGGTCTGTTAGTCCGGTTCTACCGGAGGCTCAGCTTGCGTTCCCTACAGGTTTTGTGCTCAATAGCCGCTGATCAACAAGTCAGCTCGCCGAAACTTTCCAAGTCAGCTACCTCACCGCCACTTTATTTCAACCTGTCAGCTTGGGTTCCTGGACTACGCGCTGCAAGCCCTCCAAAAAGTCGTCCACACACCGTTTCCCAACCAGGTCCTCCAACGAAATATGGGTTGTAGTTACAGTCTCGCGTCTCCCTAACTACGTATACTATAACCCCACTTATGTACCCATGAACCTCCAAGTAACCCAAAGGCAGTTGCAGCTCTCGCGCAGTAACCGCAGCAACCGTTGTCTCCTTCCCTCGAGGAGGTGGCGCAAGTCAGCGCGCAGCAACGCTGTGCCGTTGTTGTCCTCCGTGCCTCGGTGAAGATTTGAAAGGAGTGTAGGGGCCTTAATAATTAGAGTAGTGCTTTTGGGTTATGTTATACTATAGTTATAGTAAGGAACACCCAAGATAGTGTTGGTTATTATTCAGGCCCCAAGAGTACATGTGGGTACTTCTCCAACTTAGGGTCCCTTTAGGGTCCTTTTTTGTATGGGTGCCGTACTATTTTGGGGACCTAAAAAGGGACCCCAACTCAGAGAACTACCCATGTGCTGGTCGTCGCCGACAAGCAATAAGAGGCTTGCAGGCGAGCGACACAAATCATGTAGGTTTCATGTAAGGCACATGTTGAGACTTGCTGTTTGTTCGGAAGGTCCCATCCGTGGGTCCTGTGTTGAAAGGTGCCTCCTGCGTAATCTTCAGTCGCCCTATGACCTTTTGCGGCCAGATTATGAACCCTGTGTCTAGCCGCATTGTGTACTATTTTCGACCTAGCTAGCAAAGCCAAATGCTCTTTTGGCGACGGCATCCTCGCGAAATCGCCTTTGAGCGAACTGGGTGCAGCTTCAAATTGAGGGTTGTAACATTACCAGATTCATGAAGCCTCAACCTACCCATAGTCTCCATGTAGTTCCCATTTGGGGTTACCTTATAGGATCCTAAATATAGAATTGGTTAAACCAAAAAAGAGGAACTACAATGGAGACTATAGGTACTACACACCCTTCACTGAACCATCGGAGCTCATGTGGCTAATTCAGGCTTCGAGCACCAGCTCTGCCTGACCAACGCGAGTGAGGCGCGGGAAGCCCACGTGAGCACAGAGTCCAGTAGCAACCTCAGTCAAGCAGGCTACTTGGAGGTGCACGGGTAGCTATAACTGGGGTTAAAATATTCAAAGTCCCCTAAAAGGGTTCCTCTAAGGGTCCAAGTACCCATTATTTAAGGATTTGGGGGCCTTTTTGGGTACCTAAAACCATAAACAAGGACTACTTGGACCCTTAGGGTTCTATTTATAGTTACGCTGTCGCGTCAGAGTGCAACCGAGGCTCTGCTCCATCTCGTGACGGCTTGAGGAGGTCGTGAGACTCCACACGCCTTACTAAAACTGCTTTAGGGTTTACCTGGACCCCAAAGAACCTACCTTTTTAGGGCTCCTTATTCTGATTTCTTTCTATAAGTCATTGAAAAGGTGGATGATTTGGGGTTAAGGTAGGGGCTACTACACCTTGCCTCAATCGGCGGAAACAGCAGCAGCCGACCTGCACGATGCAACAAAACAACGGATTCAGCAACGAGTTCGACGAGGGAGAACAAGCAGCAATAAGGTCTGCAACAAGCCCTAAACCCTAAACCCCAAACCCCTAAACCCTAAACCCCTAAACCCTAAACCCTAAACCCTAAACCCTAACCCTAAACCCTAAACCCTAAGCACCACGAGACCCGCGGAGGCCCTTGGGATGTGTCGGCTGCGCCTTGCCAAGCGGCGGGAGCTCCCACTTCTCTTCGGCTATGAGGCCTTGGTCAGCTCATAAGTGGGGGTTTCCGACAATTAGGGGTACCTTATTTTGGGGTCCTTATAATAAGGATCCTATTATTTATAGGGTGCTATATTAGGGTCCCCTATTTTCGGAAACCCCCAAGTGTTCATACGTCCTCATAAATGCAGTTTTCCAGCTTTTCAGGACCTTGGTTTAGTAGAAGTTCGGTCCGTACATGATGAACGTGTCTGCTATTGCTGCTATTGCGTTGTGTCGTCATCGCCATCACCGCCGTCGTGGTTATCGTCATCACCATCACAATCGTCGTCATGTCTTTCTGAATTGCTGCCTCTAACCATCGCGCTACTGGTCATATCTTTCTCGCCCATACCGACTTCCTGTCATCTTATGAGCACCCCCAAACTGAGAACCCAAAGGCCTGTTTGGTTCATTCAGATATACGTACATACAACATGCCCAGATACATAGCTACATGTAAAAACCCCAACCCTATCCCCTAAGCCTGCAGCGTTTTTTCGACAGGCCGGAGGTATGGGTGCCGCAGCTGCATCTTGAGAACAGCTCTCGGCAACCTACTAGAGTCGTTACTTGTAGGACATGTTCGGTACGCGACCCCTTCGAGACGAAGCTGGGTTTAGGGTTTTGTTTCAGGGTTTGGGGAGGTTTCTGTGAATTCCCCTTCCAGCCTGCGATGTGTACGTGTCTCGTGCGTTTTTACTGCGCTCAGGGCATGGTGGTGTGGGCATATCCCAGCAGCTAACTATACAGGAAACCCTAGGCCCTAAACCCTAAACCCCTAAACCCTAAACCCGGAACCTCGAGGGTTTAAATAAATTTGGGCTCTTCGGGCCAAATCAGCACTGAGGGCCTGTGGGTTTGCGCGAGCCGTCCTTCCCGATCATCGTCGATGCTTCCCTGCGCAACGGAAAGGCATCCTGGGGTTTCACTGAGTTTGAAACTTTGGGCTGGCAGCGTAAGACTAAGAACATTCTAGACTTAGAACACTCAGGGTGTTGCTTTAGTGGAATCCGGCTTAGCCAAGTGCCGCAAGGATTCGACACACCAGAGTGCAAGGGTTCTCTTATCTTGGCTTTCCTCTACACATAGGCCCATAGTAGTTCCTTTTTGTGGTTTGTATTTAGGATCCTATTAGGTAATCCCAAAAAGGAACTACTATGGGGCCTATGGGTACACACGGGGAAAATGATGCTTTAGCTTTCCAGGTTCTGCTCTCAGCTCGTTAACTCAGTTGCCACACAGGCGGCATCATGCGGTGGAGGCTTCGTTGCAGGTAAGTTTGATATATGGGAGTTTCCAGAAAATCAGGGGTACCTTATTTTGGGGGTCCTTATAATAGGGATCCTATTAATTAGGGTACTATATTAGGGTCCCCTATTTTCGGAAACCCCCAATATATCTCAAGCAAGGGGTGTTGGAACATGGTCAGCTGTTTCTCCCCTGGAGGGTCTGGCTCAGGCAATGTGAACTCTTGACCTGAGGTGCATAGGGTTTAGGGTTTAGGGAGACTTCCTTGTGAGTTCGGGGGTATCTGAAACGAAGTCTCAGGCAGTTTGAAGTCGAAACCAGGCTCCCTGTTCATCCCAGATCCGTAGATCAAAGGTTCCTGGGACTGACTAGGGATGTCACTGGACTTTAAGTGATGTTCCGAGTGTTGCCCGAACTCTGAGCTGAAGCCTAAACCCTAAACCCTATAAAGCCTAAAACCCTAAAGCCCTAAAGCCTAAAACCCTAAAACCTAAAGCCTAAACCCCTAAACCCTAAAGCCTAAACCCCTAAACCCTAAAGCCTAAACCCTTTAAAGCCTATTTACTAAAACCCTAAACCCGAAGAGTTCCTTTTGTAAAGCTCTGCAGAGCTGTAGAGGCGCTGCTCGTCGGCGGCGGGCGTGCAGGCAGGGACTTGGTGCTGCCGCAGGCAAGGCCCTTTCCGCGCAGTTTGAGGTTTCAGGGTTTAGGATTTAGGGGTTTAGGGTTTAGGATTTAGGGGTTTAGGGTTTCAGGGTCTATAGGGTTGAGGGTTTAGGATTTGGGGGTTTAGGGGTTTAGGGTTTCAGGTCTGTAGGGTTTAGGATTTAGGTGTTTAGGAGTTTAGGGTTTCAGGGTTTAGGTTTTTGGACTTAGGGGTTTAGGGTCTAGGGCTTAGGGGTCAAAAGGGCTCACTGAAGTTTCGGAGTCAGAATTTGAAGTCTGACGTAACAAAAAGTAACGGGGTCAGGGTTTAAGAGTCTGACTGAAGGTGTGTGAATTGATAGGCATTTAAGGGCCAGGGGCTTGCGCAAAGATTTAAGGGTTTAGGGATTCGGCTTTCGTTCTGTATTGTGGCGCTCCCCTCTTGCCAGAAACCATTACGGAGGGTTTAGGGCTCTTCAGATACGTGATTGCTGTCCCTACATGTATTCGAGGTTGACGTGTAGTTGAGGATTTCCGACCTTTATGTGGCATGATGCGGAAGGAGACTTGTTCATCTTGCCAGGTGGGGTGCGTAAGGGATGCAGAATCAGTCAGTGTGTCAATTCTGTTGATCTAACTTGGTCAGCTTGTTTGAACATGACTCGAGATCCACAGAGTCGCCTTTGATCTGAGAACTCTCACCAGTGTACCTAACTTTCGGCTTACAGGCATTCATCAACGTAACAGAAGCTTGAACTTTCTTGTTGACCTCTACCTTCACCTCTGGCTTCTTTGTGTGGAGGGATGCACGTCATTGACCCCGAATTGCCGAACCCCAAACCCCGTAAAGAGCGTTTCTTGCTTGGGCTTGCAACGCGTTATCTGAAACTAACGACTAAACCCACCACTACTCACAAGGCAGCTTACAAGGCAGACAGATCACAAGAGGGCAGTCGCCCACCTATGGTTGTTCGGCCTCTCCGGCCCAAAGTCGTCAGGGGAGAAGAGCCTTGCTGCATAGGCCGGCATAGACCCACACAAGAGCCTTCATTGCGGTGCCATGGCTGCTGCAGAAGATCCTCTTGCGCCAGCATGCGCGGAGGTGCTGCTTGACAATCTCGCACCGGTAGTCACCTCCATTGTATTTCCTTTCATGTCGTAGGGTCCATAGAGTGCCATAGGCCATAGAGTTGGTTGACCAGAAAAGAAGCTAATATATACTATTATTATTACTATCTTCAGAATATCTTTTATTTTCATCCATTTTATATAATACAATAAACTACCCCAACCCCTAAGCCCGGCAGAGCATTCTTTGCCGCGCTCGCGCAAGGGATCCGGATGAAGCCTGCCGAGCAATAGTCCAGAGGCTCCAAGTGTGTATGCGGTGTATATTGTGTATGCCTGTACATATGTCATGTTTTCCATGTACATATAACACACATGCATATGCGATGTGTGTGTGTGTATATATGTATGTATGTATGTGTGTATATCTGTATATATATATATATACATACATATAGGTATATAGACTTATATTTCTATTACATGTTTATGTTCCTATGCATACATATAATGTATTCACTCTGGCCCATACGCCATACCTAGTTTGGGTTATTCGGAGCCCCGGGCAGTGATTGGAATCCTAAAGTCTAAGAAATACAAAAGACTAAAACTCTGACCCGTATATAAGCCCTAAACCCCTCCCCAAACCCCAAACCCTAAACCCTAACTGAACGTGTCAGGAGGAGCGGGTGGCCGTGGACATGGCAAGCGGAGATGCCGCGAAGCGCCTCCGGGGGTGCCTTAGCTTTTAGTAGCTTAGAGGCTTCCTGAAAGGGCTCCTAAGCGGTTCTATAAGGGATCTAGAGGGATTTGGGGTTTGGGGGATTATGGGACGTAGTAAGTAAGGCTATAAGTGCTTGAATTGGGGGTATAAGTATTGATAACTAAAATAGTTGCCTCGTTTGTAACCCTAGGTACTAAGTCCCATGATCACCCTGCCCCGATAGTGGATAACTAGTACACACAATAAACCCGTCTTGCTGGCTAGCCAAGCGGCCATCTGAGATTCCAGGATAGGCACATCAACCAAAATCCCCACCCCACCGCCGGACCAAAACCCATCACCCTAACCCCTAAGCCATACAGTCCTTGCTAGTCCTTGCTAAGTAGGACGAAAAAACCATGCATGGCTCTGGAGCCCATCTCTTATGGCATCCTGTGGTTTGGTCAGCACCCTAAACCCTAAACCCCCACAAGACCAGCCAGAGTAGGTGAGTATGCCATGCCCAAAGAGCCCAATACTCCTTACTTAAGGAATATAAATCTAATTCTATTATAGGGGCCTTAATACATTGTGATTTACAGTAAATTCCTTGATCAAGGAATCTACATTTAAATATATTATAGGGGCCTTAGTATGATGATTTTAGGTATATTCCTTATTTAAGGGGTATTGGGCTGGCTGGGTGTCCCAGGAAACCCCAAATACCAGGCCAGAGCCCTGAAGACGAAAAACGCCGAAGCCACTAGCCGACGGAGTGCCCGGGAGAAAGCGAGAGAGAGAGAGAGAGAGATAGTGTGTGTGTGTGTGTGTGCTGTTACTGTTTAGCGTTCCTTTCAGAGGTTCTCAGGGATTTCGCGTTCTTCTTAGGGTTGTTCCTGTTTGGTGACGTTCAACATGTCTAAGGTTTTGGGCTTTAGAGTTTGTACTTTTGACGGTTGTGTGTAGGGCTTGTGTTTTTTTTAAGGTTGAATCTGGGATATTTACTGTTTAAGGCTCCCTTTTTGGGGGTGCTTTTAGGGTTCCCTTAAGGGCCAACACGTGCAAGGTTCCCCTTCGGGTTTTTTGAGGTGTTAAGCTGAGGGTTCGGTTTACGGTCTTGGGCTTCTAGGGTTTTCTCTGAGGGCTCCCTTCGTCTTTGAAGGTTTCTATCAGAGTTTCCTTCGAGGGCTCCTACACCCGAAACTGCCGCTGACCATTTACAAGGGCGCTCGAGGCTCCGACCGACCGAGGCCCCTGGCCGAGCGTCTCGTCAGATTGGTGACGGAGGGTAAGGCCTACCAAGGACTGTAGTGACGACGCCCCAATGAGCTCTCTCTGCCATCAGGCAGTAAAGATAGGCCCCTGGCCCATGACCATTCGGGGGACTTTGTGTTTTTTGGAGGGTCGCGAGGACCTGCCCAAAGGGGGACTTGCTTTGTCTGAAGGCCGGCCCGAAGCTGCCAGGGATAGGTGTTTACACTTTGAGGGACCCTCACAGGGTGCGAAGGGCGGGTCGTTTGTCCCTTGAGGACCCACAACCCGACACCAATCCATCTCAGTTTTGGTTTGAACTGAAATGTGGTCGTTTTATAGAGAAAAGCGAAGGGAAACATCGATGAAGAAAGCCCCCCCTTGAGAGGGGTTTGGGGATGAAGCTGAGAATAGTTGGGGCGGTTTGGGCGGGACTACATGCTGACGCATGCACACGATAAGTGGGCGGTCCCCCATTTCTACAGAAGCGCACCCACCTCGGGCACACTGTACACACACCCCAAACCTTAAACCCTAAAGCCTCCGACCCTCAGCCACATCATATAGACCCTCCTCTGCTCTTGAGGAAAGTGATGGCCTCCTTGAGCTGCAAGGCCGCCCCAATCATCGGTTTAGAGGTTTGGGTTTGCAAGGATAGAGAGGTGAGGGTTGAGGCCGTGGAGCGGGGGGCCATACGTGGCTCCTGGAGACAAAGGCCATATGTGATCTTGAAGTTAGTAGCTTCAGGGAGCTTGAATTACGGCTTTGAGGTTTTCGTGTCTGGGGCATGGCCAGTGACAGAGTTCTTCTGCATAGCAGAATATCTTCTCTAACTATGATTAAGCAACACAGACATGGTATTCCCTGCTAGCAAAACTCAGACCCCAAATCAAACATGGTCGACCTAGGGATACCTATGGTCTCAGTTCCGAGATCTCACTGCCATTGTTCGGCGGGAGGTTCTGGCGCTGATGGTTTACGGATGTCAGAATCTCATGAACCCGCCCGTCTTCAGTGCAGCTCGAGAAAGGAGAAACCTAAAGAGAGCATGTACATTGTCCTCCATCTCCAACCCCCAACCCCGAACCTCAAGCAAAGCGACAACACCATTTTAGGTTTTCCTTCCTGACATGCAGGAAGCAGAGCGGCTGTTGGATGGCAATTTCCGTGTGAATGATGAGGTGGGCATGTGCTTTTCGAGGCATGCATTATCGGGAAACTCTATGGCCTAAACCCCTACAGTCTCAGCATCGCTAAACCCTGTGCCAATGTGACAATGGGATCCCTGAAGCGCCACATCGCTGTGTTGCGCATGAGCTAGCTATACATGCACTCGCGATCGATTGAACTCACATTTTAACTCCCTGCGGTACACTTTAGATGCGACCGTGTGCAACCAGCATATGAGGTGTCACCCTGGAAGCCCGCTACATGATCACAGATAGATTGCACTTTCTGCTTGTAGTGTGTTTGGCCACTTCGATACAACCCCGACAGCATGTGGGTAGTTCTCTAAATTAGGGTACCTTTTAGGGTCCTGTTTATAAAGGTGCCGTACTATATTGGGAACTTAAAAAGGGACCCTAAATTAGAGAACTTCCCATGTACACGCAGGTCTGCTCCGCTTTGCGTGCAGCGTGGGACTGTGTCCGGCACCAAGAGGAGTCCACGAGTCCACACCCCAACTTTAAAGGTTTAGGGTTTAGGGTTTAGGGTTCGCAAACACGTTCCAGGCATGCCGCAGTCAGGCTTCAGGGAGGAAGCCACTGTATGGAAGTCACGTCGTTTCAAGGTTCTTGTACCTTGCATCGATGCCCGGGAGGCTCAGATCCAGAGTGTCGCAAAAGAAGTCACGTCGTTTCGTGTGTTTCGGCATGGTTCTTAGAAGTCTAATCACCACCGAAAATGACATCCTTGACATCCTCAAATCTCTGGAGAGCCGCCAGCGTGCTCATACGTGCTTTGCCCGACGCTAGACCCTAAACCCTAAAAAAGCCATTGCAAATCACACGACCCTTATTACAAAGCACGCCTAATCGAGGTACCCCGAACGTTGAGAGACCACCCCCTAAACCCTAAACCCAGCCCGAAACCCTAAACCCTGAAACTTCCTCGCTAAGTGGGAGGGGAAAAACCCCCTTACAGTAATTATCAACCCTAAACCCTAAACCCTTCACCCCTTACAGTAATTATCAGCTTCCGTGCAGCTCCAGGCTGTCCGCTTGGAGGCCCAACTCGGCGAGGCCTACAGGTGTTAAGGAACACATGTTTAGGAGGTTGAAAATGCTACAGCGCATTACAGGTGAAGGGTTTAGGGTTTAGGGTGTACAGGTGAAGGGTTTTTGGGTTAGGTTAGGAGTTTACGGGTTTCGGGTAGGGTTTGCTTTGCATTTTAGGACCTTTGGAAGGTTTGTTCGAGTGCTTGGTTGGGGATGAGTTGCAGGACCAATCTGAGCTGCAGGCACTGGCAATCAGCTTATGTCGGGGGGTCTATATGCTAAAAAGGCAGGATTTGGGGTTGTGTTGTAGCATAACAAGTATACAGGGACAGACGCGGCGTAATGGCTCACTCAGTGTTGGGTTTAGGGTGTCGTCGGAATGTAGTATGAAGCTTGTCCCAACTTACAGCCCTACCTTCGTGCAACAACAGGAACCGTAAGTCCATAAACTTCACAGTAACCCAACAGACTACCGAAGCCACGCAGAACGTAGGGTAGACATGCTTCTCTGTGCTGGTGAGGCAGATCGGCCGTGGGAAGAGCGAAACCGCTGGCTGCAGGACTCCATTGACTCCATCCCGACTTGTTGTTGTAAGTGTTCCTCTAAGGGTTCCTGTTTTTCATACCGGCTCCTGCAAGGGTTCTAGCAGGGCATGAGACTGTGTCGCCGACGAAGAAATTTCCGTAAACACAGAAAACCCAACTCCTGCCTGGACCCTAAGAAACCCAGCTTTTTAGGATTTCTTAATATGATTGAGGGTTTAGGTGCAGCCAGAATCTGCCACATTCGTGGACTGCCTTACCTTTGTCAGGAGACTCAGGGAGTCAGTGCCGAACTCTTCTTCGAGATTTCACGTATGGTTGTCCAAATTAGGATCTCTCCGAAACTTTAAAGGGTGCCGTTTTAAGAGTAGAACAAGAATTATCTAGGGTTCCTCAAAGAGACCATGGATTTCATAATTAGTTACCCACATCTAGCCTTGTTGCATGCGTACACAAAGCCTTGAGATGGGCAAAGCTTTCATGCTGCCTCTTTCTGTAGACTCGGCCAAGGTATCACCGCCGGATGAAAGAAAGATGTGAAGAGAAGCCTGAGCTTGCAACATTGGGGTTTAGGGTTTAGGGTTTAGGTACCCTCAAATCCCTAAAACCCTACATGAACCCTGACATTTTGGAGGATTTCCAAAAGTTGAGGCTCGAGACTTCGAGTTCTGGGCACATTCCCTAAACCCCACTTGGAGGTTCAGGGGTAGTTATAAGTGGAGTTATAAGTAGGGTAACTATAGATATATCCCATATTAGGGGACTTATAACCCTACTTAGAATCTTAGAACTGTACTCATGAACCTCCAAGCAAGCCAGGGTTCAGCCCTAAGCTTTGGAGTCGAAAAAACCATCGAAACCCTTAAAGGACCTCGCCGCCGAGCGCGGCGAACTGGCTGATCTCGAGGCGGTGTCTTGAGAATTCCGTGGCGTGGGGGCTCTTTGAGGGTTTTGGGGTTTAGGGTTTAGGGTTTAGGGTTGGGAGGCTCTGATCTATGAAATGCGGAGAGTGTTGAGGCTTAAGGACCGGCACCGGGAATTTAAACCCAACTCCCGGCCCTAACTTGAACCCTAAATCCTAAACCCCTAAGCCCTAAACCCCCAAACCCTTAAACCCTAAACCCCCGAACCCTCAACCCCTAAAGGCCCTCAAGTCTCAGCCCCAAGTTACAACTCGCTGAAAAACCCTTCCAAGTGCTTAAGCCAATACCTCCGATGCAAGGCCACGCTGCTCACAGCGAAGCTGGAGGTCAGCCCTAAACCCTGAACAAGAAATCACGAAATATGGGGGGGGGATTCGGGATGCTTTCGGGTGCAGTTGGGGTTTAGGGATTCGGAAAGGAAGGCTTAGGGCTGAGGGCGTCGTGAAATCGGCAGCGGTAGACTCGTCGTAGACGGCTTGAGGTTCTAATAGCATGTCAATGGGTCCGACTACAAGGCTCGATCATGTCAAGCACGTTGCTTCGTGCTGGGATAGCAATACTACTGTCCTGATTGAAGAGTGGAAGATGAACCTCGGCTTTCGAGGAGGTTCAGGAGGTGAGCAATGACTTGATGTGCTGCTTCGAGACTTCTTCAACATGTTCAGATCCCAAATCGGTTTAAATCCCGATCCATAAACCCTAAACCCCTAAACCCTAATTCCATATAGTTACGAAATCCCAAACCCGAAACCTTAGGATTTCCAGGTTCTCCGGTCCTTGAGGCTTTTTGTGGCTTCAGAGTTCAACTCGGGCTAAGAGCTCTGCATTTCGAAGCCTATGCATCGAAACCCAGAGAGCTCTTTGGCGAGTCAGGGGTTCCGAAACCCAGAGAGCTCTTTGGGGAGTCAGGGGTTCAGTGTGATAAGCTTTTGGGATTAAAATAATATAGGGTGCCTAAACAGTTACCAAGACTACTTTTTGGAGGTGGTCCTTATTATAAGTATACTACAGAGGCGCCCAAAACCCTATTCCAACTAGTCTGGCTCCTACATCACATTGACTATGGAGGTTTGGGATTTAGAGGTGTAAGGTTTTGAAGCTGAGGGCTTTTGAGGTGTTAGGGTTGCTTGTAAGGCTTTTGAACGTATTTTAGGGTTTCAGGCGTTTGGCTGGGGGGGTTAGACTTTGGAAATTAGGGTTGCGGTTGTATTGTAGTCTTCAGGATGAGGGTGCAAGGTTTGGGCAAAGGTCTAGGGCATTTTCAGGTGGGTAGTTACCGTTACAGGAGCCTTATAGAAAGTCTATATACCTTATAGAAACCTTATAGACTCATAGACGCCCTATATACCCTAAACTCCCACCTGTAGTTCCCTTCGAAAAAGGGGCTTACTAAGGGTCTACGGCCTTGGATAAACAAGTGTTCTCGAGTCGAAGAGTTCGGGCACAAAGCTTCTCAGATGCTCTTCATGGAGGTCTTCGTCAGTGATGGGATGCTTGCTTCTGCTTCAACCCGGTATTCTAGAAGCCTGAGCTAGTCATGCTATGCCTTACGGCTCCTGATTAATTTTTTGGTATACTGTCTCATCCCAAAACCCTGTGCTAGTAGCTCTATCTTGTTGCCAGGGCGATGTGGTGCTCGTCTGGGATGCCTTAAATGACCCTGTTGACCCTCATATAGGGGCCTTAATAAT